TATTACTAAATACTGTACTTTTAATACTGAAAATAAGTAATTAATCAATGATTCTTAGCATGATATTTCTCTAAGGGATATTGCAAAGCAGCGATGTTAGAAAATAAAAACAATTCACTACGCACACAGCTAGAGATGTACTCGTATACATGTGAAAACTTGTTCTGAGTGTATAAATATACATTTGTAGTTGCCGCGTAATGAGCCGCGTTTGCATTAAACATATATTATCACTGCTACAATATAAGTAACTCAGCCATTGCTCTTTGGTTACAGCAACCACATAAATAGTTGTTCCATATTTTACTATTGAATCTAGTTGGCACAACCAGATTTCTATGGATCAACCATATTGTTTTTTCCGTGTACCAAATGCATAATTATGGTTGCCATATCCACAATAAATAGTAATATTTCGGGCAACTATGGGTCTGTTTTCTATTGCTACACTGCTGAACTGGTGCAATAAGTTAGAATGAGAAAATATATAGTTGTCTCACTTTAACTTATTACACCAGTTCAGTAGCGCAGCAACAGAAAACAGACTCTATGTCTATAGTTATAACACCCATATTGATATGATCATGCTACTGTAGTTGAGATTACTATACTGTGCAAGTGCCAATGCTGGCGCGGTGGTGTGACAACAATTCACACTGTAGTACGAGCTATGATATGGTTGTCACAACCACACGGGCTACGGAGGAATGGTCGGGACAACTATATGCAACTATATGCGCTTGGTATAGTAAATATAACGAATGTTAAGATACAAAACAATATAGATACCCCAACACTTCGTACGGTAACATTGTAATTTTAGTAGTCTCAATCTCAGCCGTTCTTTCCGTACATATAAGATTGAATTAAATTAATTAAATTTATGTATAAATATATAAATTAACGCTTATTATAACCGATTTCTGAAATATTTTAGTGAAAAAGATTTTATTGAAACATTTCACAAATATTTTTGAATTATTTCAATGTTATATTTCAATATAATTTTCAAGTTATCTTTTGGAAAGCTTTTTGAAAGATGTGCTATGTGAGATATGTCTTTAAAATGTCTTTAAAATACACATTATTTTGTTGTGTCTCTTGTTATCGGATCGTTCCATTGATGAATGCACTCGACCGATCTCGACCGAGAAAAAAACTATGTTAGACCTTTTAACTTATCTTTTGCAGAATTTACGTCAACATTTTATTTTAACACTACATGTAATTTGTATAACTATAAGAATAAACAAAGACTATTAGAACACAACAATAAAAATAAAATTTTTATTATAAGGAAAAATAAATAAAAAACAGGAAAAAAGTGATTCATTTTCTCACGATAAAAACCTCTGCTAGTAAACGCTAAATAAAGATATAGATATACAAAAATTAGACATTACGAAAAATGTTATTAAAAAAAATGTTATTAACAAAAATTGTTTGTATTTTCTATATTTCCGCAAAATTTGTCGATCTAATTTTTTAATACTTTGTATGTATATAAATCTAAAATTTCATCATACGCACGCACGCATATGTGTATTACAGATTATTTAGAGAGCAAGGAAAACACGAAAAATGACGTTGCTGCAACAATTCGCGGATTTGCTGAGTATAATAACAATCGGCATGTGCTTCGTATTAAAAATTCCACAGATATTGAAACTGATGTCTGTGAAATCAGCTGACGAAATATCCATGTTAGGATTATTTCTAGAATTAACGAGGTAATTCTTTACTCTAAAACCGTTTGTTTCGCTTTCACATACAGTCGATCGATTGATTTTCTCTCTTTCTTCCAGCTATACTGTGATGACTAGTTATAATTATACGAATGGATATGCAGTACTGTCCTATATGGAGTACCCGATAATATTAATTCAAGAATATATCTTAATATTCCTAGTCTTGAAATATTTAAACAAGATCAACATGTCGACTTTTGTATATACTATAATATACTTTACACTGAGCAGCTGTTTGCTGTTGGAAATTGTGCCGAAAGTTGTTCTTACATTTTTAGCAGTTAGTATCTTTTTATTGTATGTGTGTTCACTGAGATACCTTTTATAAATTTATAGTTAAAAAAAAAACTCTTTGACTTTTGTAGCCCATGTGCACTCCGATTTCCGCTTCCAGTAAAGTCGTCCAGTTGCTAGCTATACTTCGAGCTAAGAACGCTGAGTCTGTGTCACCTCTTACTTGGTTCATATCTGCCTTTACAAATCTGAGTAAGTTCATGAATAAAATAATATTTTTTTCAAGCGAATCTAATCTAATAAATAACTTTTAGCGAGAGTATTTACAATATGGATGGATTCGGCCGACGTGTTGCTGCTGGGGAACTTCATTATCTCGGTGGTGTTGAGCTCCAGCGTCATGTTCTCCGCGCTCTACTACAGACGCCGCCCGATGAAGCAGGATTAAACAAAAGAAAAAAAAAATTACGCAATTGATCTAGTCAAACATATTTTATGAAATTGACGGAGGTATCTTATAGTTATATCTTATGTATTTATTGTAATTAATCGCAAAATACTTATTCTGTATTTACTTTTTCTGACAATACTGCGCATGTCAAATAATGTAAATTATAGTTCTTAATTCTTAATTAATAACTATATATAAAGTTAAAAATAAGAATTATATGAAATATATAAAGTTAAGGTATATATATAAAGTTAAAAATGTGAAAATCGAAAATTATGTTTGGTATATTCGAAAAAGTATCGCCGTTTCATTGACACAATTTGCGAGATAATACATTGAGGAAACTATAGACGCGAAACTATATTCTATGGGGACGTACGCGACGCATACACACATCTCAAAGATACCATGTGGTCTCAATCTACATGAATTATTTTTTGGACCAGTGATCTCCAAAGTTCCTTTAGTCTACCGTCAAATTTTTGTCAACAAGCGGTAAAGGGCGCGACAAAATTCGCTATAAACAAACTATTGTTATCTCTTTTGAAAATTTTTATTTAGCATATTTGTATATCCGTAATTTACGATATTTATATAAAGAAAATATAACAAAAATATCGGTAAATAATATATAAAGAAATAATTGTAATGAAATCTTTAGAGAAGTCATAATTATTCGAATACATCAATTTTTTTTATATAAAATAGATATAAAATATTGACTTCTATATTAGAACAGCACGTCAATGGGATATGAAAGCTTAGTGAATTCTTACTGAGCTACGATTTGAAGACCACTGATCCATTCCACCCCCACCGAGCCTTTTTCATCTGGCAAACCGTCAGTGCGCGGATGAAACGCGGTCTAGATAGTCGGCATCGAGAAGGCGCGCAAGCATCATAATCGTCAGTGTCTCTCTCGTGTAAGAGAACAAGAGAGTGCCAAAGTAAGGCGGAGGGTGTGCAGGGAAAACGAGTGTGAAGAAGAAAAAAGGGAGAAAAAGAGAGTGTAAGAATTCCTCGGAAGAGAACTTGAGGAGAAGGTGTCGATTTTCTGTTGCTGGCAGGATGCGGTCACTGGCGATCTTAGTCGGGCTTCTGCTGGTCGTCCGGCTATCCAGGTGCGAGATTCTGACGCCACCGTATTTCAACTTGGCTGAGGGCAAGGAGATTGTCGCTTCAGCCACATGCGGCGTCGACACTACCGGTCCGGAGCTTTATTGCAAACTCGTCGGCGCGAACGCGGATCAGGACGAGGATATTAATCTGATCCAAGGACAGGTGGGTGCGAACGTATCGAAAAATATCCGAAGCATATATGACATTCATGACATAGTGCATTATATTTGAAAAAAATGTCCGCTAATCTAGGTTACAAGTTTTATTACCAAAAGATGATTAAAGTTAAAATTTAAATAAAATCTCGCACATATAGCGAAAACGAGAACGGAATGTTAAAAAAAACAACTTTCGTTATCGAGAAAGAATAAATGATTTGAAAGAATTGTACATATTCTCTAAATGTGCTCTAAATTTATATTTTATATAAGTATAATGAGACGTTAACGCAAGCAATAAGAGAACAGTTGGTTTAATATTCTCGCGTCGTTAAGGAGATTGAGATATTCTCATCTCCAGTTTGCACCGAATTTTATCTACCAATGAATTCTGTGAGTCCAAGAGTTTATCGACTTCAAGACATCGACCCGTTTACTCAACTACTTCCTTTTCTTCTCTCTTCCCCTCCTTCGTATAGAAAACTATATGTACCGCGTAAACATTTAAAATTATCTGCCGAATATGATCCGCGTTCTCCCTCTATCTTGAAACTACGATAAGAGGGAGAAATAATCATCTATTATTCCGGGATGCGTGAATAAGATCGTTTGTAAAAGAACGTTTTTTTACAATCGGCCGTCTTTACAATTGGCGTTTTTTTTGCAATCAAACACGAAGAAATTTGTTAATGAATCTCGCATACTTTTTTCGTTGCAACATATAAATCGTAAACCACTTTATCACATAATTGCGCGATTACATTCTCAATATCTTCCAGTGAAACTTATAAACATTTCAATTAGAAAAATAATTATATCAAGAACTAAAAAAAAGAGATTCAAGTTTCCTTATAATTTTCATGTATTCTGACGGGCCATGGTTCTATTGCTCCAGGATAATCACCGCTTTCGAATGCTCTTTTAAAATTACGGGTCAGCATGCTATTAAACGTGAAAAAAATTCGTCAGCGAGTCAGTGAAGGACAAAGCGCGACCGCGCGGCTTCCTTAAGGAAGATCCGGCCGAGAGAACCAGTTCGTAGGATCTATCATTGTGTTCCAAGTACGCCATAGACTCGCAGGATCAGCGTCGTACTTTCCGCAGCAGCGATTCTTCGGAATTTAATTGAAGATTTACGCTGTGAATCTAACACGTTTATTACAAATATAAATAATTAATGTATGTCGTTGAGTGTTAATGTGTGTGTTGTCTCTCCCTAATATCATTAATGATTTGTCAACTCTGAAAATGTAAACTTGCATTTGTAGTAATGAAATAATTGGCGAGAAGTATCTTATGCATATTTATGTTTTAATTGCGAGATACGATATAAGGAGAAGATAACACTGGAGACTCTAATTCTTTCTGGGAACTATTAATATTTAGATCGCGAGATTTTCATTCACGACGTCGCTCTCGTGTATCTATCTCGAGCACAGGCAAAAGGAGACGTCCCATAAACTAAAAGCGAGAGAACCGATAATACTTGAGAAAGAGAGAGAGAGAAGATGACATAGAGAGGGGGAGAAAGAGAGAGATAAAAGGATGACCCCTCGATAACACTCGATCTTGTTCATGTATCCGAAATTAAGACGATTTCTATGTGACACGAATGACCTATATAGATTCTGAAAGATCCTCATCCGTTTCTTGCTATTTCTTGAAATTACTGTCTCAAATCAGAAGCGGCGTGATAAAATATATCTTTTTTTATATTTTAATATAATTTCGAATTGCGCACGTTAGGATAAGTGTCAACAATACATTTTTTTCTGAGGAAATTTATTTTTTTATTTTATTCTATTATCACATACGAAAAGCAAATTTTTAAAATTAAATTTATTGATTGATTTTCTTTTCATATATGACTGTAAATCTTGTCTGTTTCGCAGGTATGCGATTATTGCGATCCTGATAACCCCGAAAAGAGGCATCCACCCGAATATGCAGTCGATGGAATGGAGACTTGGTGGCAATCACCGCCGTTGTCCAGAGGTATGAAATACAACGAGGTGAATCTGACGATCAACTTGGGGCAAGTAAGTTTCTATTACGTAAAATTTAATAATTATTGGAAATTATATATCGGGAACTTCTTCAAAACACATTAAATAGCAATGTATAATCTAGCCTTGGTAAACGTTTTTTCATAATTTTTCATACAATTTCTCATGTCAACAATTTATAAGTAATTATGTGAAATTATGAGAAATTCTTCAGATTTTCTAATATTTTCACATATTTTTTCCCGAAAACATGAAATATGAAATCTCATAATTTCTCAGAACGATCTTATGAGAAAATATAAGAAATTTTTTCAGATTTTCTACTATTTTCACATATTTTTTCCTTGATATATGAAATCATAATTTCTTAGAACGATTCTATGAGAAATTATGAGAAACTTTTCACATTTTATCCTATTTTTCCCGAAAACATGAACTATGGAATCTCATAATTTCTTAGAACGATCCTGTGATAAAATATGGAAATATTTCAGATTTTCTAATATTTTCATACATTTTTCCCCAAAATATTAAATATAAAATCTCATAATTTCTCGAAACGATTTTAAGAGAAATTATGAGAAATGTTTCAGATTTTGTCTCGAAAGTATGAGATAAGAAGACTCATAATTTCTCATTATAATCGCCTGAGAAATTATGTGAAATTCTTTAGATTTTCTAATATTTTCTCATATTGTTTTCCCAACGGTAAGAAATAAAAACTCTTATAATTTCTTAGAGTGATTCTATGAAAAATTATGAAACATTTTTCAGATTTTGTCACATTGTTTCCGAAAACATGAAATAAGAAAAGATTCATAATTTCTTATAATTTCTCAGTACTATCGCAGAAGAAATGATGAGATATTATTCACATTTTCTAATATTTTCTCACACATTTACACAAAAGCATGAAATAACCCGATAAGTAAGAAACATTAAATTAACATTTAGAAACGTTGATTTTATGTGCATTGTTTGGACATTTTTTAATAATATGGCATTTATATTTTTCACATGCTATTTTGTAATATGATTTTTCTGAATGTTGTTTAAACGTTTTAAAAACATTACAAAAAATATATTTTTCAAAAGTTACTTTAACATTTATTTGAGATCAATGCAACATCTTAAAAATATTTCTGCTGATTAAAACGTTATAGCAATCCTATTTAAACATTATTAAAACTTTCAAATCGCGGTCAAAATATGTTCATAATGATGTTTGATACAATATTAAACACTACATATTTGACAATATTACAGGTTCTTTAATATCATTGTAGCAACGTTGTATTAATGATTTCTTGCTTACTGGGAAGAAATCTCATAATTTCTCACAATGATTGCATGAGAAATTATGTGAAATTTTTCAGATTTTCACATTTTTACACGAAAATGTATTACAAATATATTAGCGTAAGGTGTCTCACCTTATTATTTTTTTTAAATATCATTATGTCATTAAATCTGAACAATTTAACCGTCATGCAATAAGTACTAAAAGCAGCAGCACCGAATAAAATATTAGTCCCGCCATGTAAATAACTTTTACAGAATTTTTATGATGGTTTATTTGAAAATATAACATGTTTTGATTTTGATAAAATTTAATACAACCTGAATACAATCAACCAAATTAATTCACTGAAGTAAAAGCACAGTATTTTATTATTATGATAGAAAAATGTCATTATCTGTTCTTTTATTGCAGTGATTTTCTATATAATTCCTGGTAGAAAATTTTCTCATAATTTTTCATAAAAGTTCTTATAATTTGTCAAAAATATCTCATAACATTTCTCAGGTATCACATATTTACTCATAGAATGAGCGTTTTCTCATAAATACTCGTAAAATTCAATGAGAAAATATAAGTTTTTCTATATTATTTTTTCATCATTTTAGATTTTCTTCTTTCCAATATATCGTGTTTTTTCATATTTTTTTATAGAAAGTATTTTATTTTTCATATTTTCTCATACACGTTATACAAATATTTCTCATAATTTATTATAAAATGTCTTATAATTTTTCAGAAAATATATCTCACAATTTCTCAGAAATGTTGTATTTAATCACAGATTGTACGCTTTCTCGTACTCATAAATACTTATAAAATGGAATGAGAAAATATGAGTTTTTCTACAGTTTTTCCCTTTATTTGTCAGATTTTCTCTTTTTATATATTTCGTTGTTTTTTGTTTTTCATATTTTATTACATAGCATTTAATATTTTTTCAGAATGCTCATACAATATATTTTACATTTTTTCAGATTTTCCTATTTGTTTACAAAAAAAGATTGTTACTTCTTTTTCATCCAGCTCTGTTATTTTACGGTCTGTAAATATTAGCTAATTTAAAATGTTGTGAAATTACAATAAATTTTTAATGAAAATAAAACAAAATAGTTCGGAAAATTAATATGAAGAAATTCGAAAATATTGTATGAAATATTTGATATCAGGATATCAAAAATATGCAAAAATCGTAATCATTTTATGATGGCATAAATTTTATATTTATATAACTAGAACATTATAGGCCCGCGCTATGCGCGTGCTATTTAACATCTTTATCATTACAATGACCTTTTAAATTACCTTATAAAATTACCTTATTCTTATCTTTATTTTTGCCTAAATAATATGCTTCTCTCTTTGTCTACCCTTTCTTTTCCCTCTACCCCTCTTTCTCCTCTACCCTTCTATTCTCTATTCTTCTATTCTTATAATTTATATCTCTTCTATATTCTTTTCTTCATGAGCTAATCAACGTGATGACAGTTATTTGCCTGATAATTTGACAGGCGCAAACGATACGAAATAAGCCCACATGAAGTGAGCTAAGCGAGAGAACCAATCAGCATCGCGGAAAAGCGGCAACAATTAAATCTCTTACATATCTTTTTTTTAGAGTGTTTAGGGCCGGTTTCACCAACTCCGGTTAAACCAACTGACGGTTAAATTCTAACTACCAGAAGTGCCAATATCAAGATTAAATATAAATTGTTCATTGAGGTTTAATATGACACTGTTCATGGTATGTCGCATTTAAGTTGGCTACTCTGCTACTTTTAATCCTCGGTTAGCCGAGTCTTAACCGGAGTTGGTGAAACCGGCTTTAGAGTAAAATATCATATTGATAAATCATAATAGAGAGAGAGAGAGAGAGAGAGAGAGAGAGAGATCTTTTTTTTTTATTAATTTTGAATTATCGTCCCAGTCTCTCTTACATTATTTATACGCTAAACGGTTTCATCTATATTTTGCGATTTAAAACGCAAATAAATTCTAAGATTTTTCTTCCTTAAACCTTAAGTGGGCAATATAAAGCACTTTTTATCAAGTAAGGAATTAACGTAGTGTCTAAGAAGACGGACCATAATCCAGAAGATGTTTTCGGTTTGAGTTCGAATCTCACCAGTGCTGAGTGAATTTTCAAACGTGATGCAGTGTGAAACCAAATAAAATTGTTGAATTAGTGCAAAATCAACATATGCCGGCAAGTGAAATATTTATATAAATATCATAGAATCCATAAAATGACTATGATTTTTGCATAGACAATAGACAGACTATATTTCTTAAAATATTATCATAGTTTTTTATAATTTTTTAAATGTTATTCACTATTTTTCGTTCCTTTTCAGATTTTCCCCTATTATTGTCTTTGATTTCCTGATATCAAATATTTCATACAATGTTTTCGGGCTTATAAGAAAATATAAAAAACACGATATTTGAAAGAAGAAAATCTTACAAATGATGAAAAAATAATATATAAAAACTCATATTTTCTCATTGCATTTTACGAGTATTTATGCTGAGAAAGCATTCATTCTATGAATAAATGTGAGATATTATCTGAGAAATTTTATGAGATATTTTTGGCAAATTATGAGAACTTTTGTGAAAAATTATGAGAAAATTTTCTAGCAGGGAGGAGCGACAGGAAATGATGAGACATGGCGATCTTTTATCGACGACATAAATATTCTATCATGCATGTAGTAGGCGTTTTCCTGCAAGTGGGAAGATTTATCACTGGTTTATTTCCGGAGAACAATGAGAAATTCAACTTTCATCCATCTCGAATCTTATCAAAATTATTTTATTTCTTCTAAATTCTTAATTGCGTACTATTATTTATAATAAATACAAAATCTTGATGCTTATTATATAATTATACGAACAAAAAGTACGACAAATCTCACAGAATCAATTGCATTTGTAAGCATTTTAACCTTAATAATAATACGCTCATTTTAATTATTGGAACGTATATTACACTGGTAGACAAAATATGACCTTTTTTTAGGTTCAGAAATACCACGAATAGTTTCTAGTAGATTTTTCAGTACTGATTACGAATTTAGCCATAAAAATTGCCTAGCACGTCAGGATTCTGTGAAAATCGCAGATAAATATGCAAAAAATGCCACTTTTAATGTTTTTGCATCAGTCATATCTTTTAACAAAGATACAGAGTAGTGCGAGCATGCAAAAAAAGCGTTTAACTTGCAGTTAATATAGTAAGTATGAAAAAGTCCGAACCGACACAAAAAAACTGCGTACAAAGATGGACATTTTCATTTTTTAGAGATTTCCTTACTCACTCAATAAGACATGGTAAATATCATATGGGGATTTTCAATTCTTTTTAAAAAATATATATGTATGAAGTGAAACTACATTCGAAAGTTTCGTACTAGATTCGCAAAGTTGGTATGAAAATTTTTTAATTTGCTGTTTTTCAATATTAAAAATGCGGAATTTTTTTTGTTTTGTTTTTTACAACTCCAGAACCATGAAAAGTGCTACTAGAACTATCATTTTTTTAAAATATGTAAAACGTGCCAGCTTCACAAACACTAAGAAAATGCAAAACTCGTTTCTTAGTCCTTAAATGAATAAAATAAATTGGAATAAAAGAATCGCGAAATTAAATGTATTAAATAAATTAGAATATAATGGATTGCAAAAATTAATTTTTTTAATTGCAATGAAATAAAATTAAATAAATAAATTAGAATGAAATTTACATTAATACGTCCGGCAGGCGCCTAATATTATTGTTAGGATTATTTTACGTGATGCAATTATCTGTTATCAGGGACGTAGTTTGCTTTCATGCCTGTGTAATGCCTACGGCGTCTGTTATCCCTTTGCTAATTATTTTCTTCTTAGAAAGTTTCATTTGCACCTTCATCATTTCACCATGTCTGTTTCTCTCTCTGTCTTTCTCTCCCTCTCTCTCTCTCTCTCTCTCTCTCTCTCTTTCTTTCTCTGCTCTTTCCTTTTTCCCTTCTCCTCTTCCTCTCTCCTCTTTCTCTTTCCTTCTTCTTTCTCTTCTGTTCCTTCCATTTTTTCGTCCTTTATTAATTTGTGTACATAACTTATTTGTCGGATATGGTTTCTTTATCATCCCTAACATCCTATCTTGCTACCTATTATATTCTACAATCTTTCAAATGACCATTGTCCTAATAAATTTCTTCTGTCTCTTCTTCCCTCTCTTTCTCGACAGCCAATGTACTCAAAATCTTAGTGGAAGTTCTTAGAGCATCGAAAACGCATGCAGCGCACATCTGGCGTCCATTCCTTTTGACCCTTAATCATATTATTCCGCCTGAAACAACAAAAAAAGCGTTCTCACGCATTTAGAAGCCCAAGCAGCGAATTTCAGCAAGTGCAGCGAAGATGGTTCTTTTTGTGAGAAAGAAGTTACGCGAATAAAATCAAAGTTCATAAAATAAAGTTCATGCCCAGATAGCACACAGTTTTAGAAATGTTTTATAAACGTTAGAACCAAACTTTTCATAATCGTTTCCAAAACATTTCATAACGTTTCTGAAATGTTTTTATGAGTCAAAATGTCCAATCAAAAAACGTTAGGTGAAACGAAAAAAAATTGTTGAAGAAACGTTTTATAAACATCTCATAAGGTATCAGAAAGGTTTCTGTTAAAATGTTTCTTATTGGTGCTTTACGGTTCTGAAACTATAGATACGTTTAAAAAACGTTTCTGATACGTATGTACTACTTGGGTGATCACAATTTTTCTGATCAAAAATTTTTTCTTGCATTTTTTCTCCTTTCTTTTTTTTAGGAATTTCATGTGGCATATGTTTATGTACGAATGGGTAACTCTCCCCGGCCGGGACTTTGGGTCCTGGAAAAGTCAAAAGACTACGGCAAAACCTGGTCACCCTGGCAATACTTCTCAGATTCCGCTAGCGACTGTCTCACGTACTTCGGTGTGGATAGTCATAAGCCGATTATTCGGGACGACAGTGTGATCTGCACGACCGAATTTTCGCAAGTGGTACCACTCGAAGGTGGCGAGATTCCAATCTCGATCTTGAACAATCGACCCTCAGCGAAACACTACTTCAATTCAACTTTACTACAAGAATGGACAAGGGCAACCAATGTTCGCTTCCGCTTTCTCAGAACGAAAAATCTATTAGGTCATCTAATGTCTGTGGTTCGTCAAGATCCCACTGTTACCAGAAGAGTGAGTGTTATCAGTTATTTTTGTGCTTAGAAATTTTTTTGTTATTACACACTACAATAAATCATCGATTTTTACGCTAAAAATTAATGATAACTCAATGAAAATATTATGTTTAGTAATGCAAAAGACATTATGATAAGCAACGATGCTCAGAACATCACTTCAAAAGTAAAATTTTGTGAAAGATATATTTTATAATTTAATTTTTCTGCAACATATCGTGTTACAGTATTTCTACTCGATCAAAGATATCAGTATCGGCGGCCGTTGCATGTGTAACGGACACGCGGACACTTGCGACGTTCAAGACCCCAACATGCCGAAGAAGCTGGTTTGTCAGTGTCAACATAATACCTGCGGACCTCAATGCGCGAAATGTTGCAAAGGTTTCGAGCAAAAGAAATGGCGACAGTCCACAGCATCCAAAAAATTCAAGTGCGAGCGTAAGAGAACAATTTACTTCTTACACACGTTTTGAGACCAATCATTGACACTTTTTGACATTAACGACAAACACGGAAATATTTTGTAGCCTGCAACTGCTTTGGACACTCGGATGAATGTATCTACGATCCAGAGATCGACGAAAAGCACTTGTCGTTGGACATTTATGGCAATTATGAAGGCGGCGGTATCTGTCAGAATTGCAAGGATAATACGGAAGGCATCAACTGCAACCGCTGTAAGCCCAAGTTCTATAGGCCACAAGACAAACCTCTGAACGCGACCGACGTATGCCAACGTGAGTAAATTCAAATCTAAATTAGAGTTGCGAATAATTAATTACTTTTTTTTAACAATTATACTGTCCGACAAAATTTGACTTTTTTTCCTGCGGTGATCGCAGCTACTATTTTTTAAGAAATTCGAGGTCGCTAAATCCAAATCCGCCAGCAGAAAATGCATATTATGTCAGGTTTTTGAGATAAATCCAGTAATATGAGTAAAATAAAAAACTGCGTTTTTTGCCATATTTTCTAATTTTTTGTAGCCAAAAAAATTTTATTTTTCAATTTTATTGACACCACTTTAAAGTGCTATTCTTCACCTTTAAAAGAAATTTTAATTTTTTACTGTGCGATTTTTTTCACTGTGTTATAAACTTTTTCTAAAATGTAAAATCTTATATTTTTATAAATACTAACTTTTATGCTCCTCCGTTAAAATTTATCAATTAATTCCACCACGTTGAGTCTGCCATTTTGAATTTCGTCATTTTGAGTTCAGATTCGTAAGCAGCGACCTCAAAAACCCTGAGTATTGACTTTGATCCGAATTGAAACACTTTTGGTCCGCCGTATTGAATTTGCCATTTTGAATTTTGAAATTTTGAGTTCATATTCGGTATCAGCGACCCCGAAAATCCTAGGATACCCATTTTCATCAACAAATCCATTTACTTTCTAGTCTCATCAGCCATTCAATTTGGATCTGACATTATTTACTTTTTGGAAAACGTTTTTAAGTCTGTAAAAAAAATTGCACAGTAAAAAATAAAAACACGTTTTATAGGTGAAAAATAGCACTTTAAAGTGGCCTCAATAAAATTAAAAAATAAAATTTCGTTTGATAACAAAAAATTGGTAAATATAGCAAAAACGTAGTTTTTTACCTCTATTACTCGATTTATCTCAAAAACCTGACGTAATGGGCATTTTTTACTGGCAGATTTGGTTTCAGCGACCTCAAGTTTATTAAGAAATATTGGCTTTTGTCGCCGCAAATTTTTTTTGAACTGTGTTATCATGTTTAATTGGTGATTAGTATGAGTCAGTTTAATCAAAGGCCGTTTAATTGTCAATTGATTTTAACAAAATGTTTGTTAAATTGGCTTAAAAAAGAACAAATTTTGGCGGATTTTACTATCAATCATTAGGATTCTAATTATCCAAGAACTCAGTCGAAAATGGGTCGAGAACTCAGTGAGAACGGATTTCACGCCTTATCTAAGGGAGAGGAGGTAGCATTTTTTTCGTGCATTTTTTGCATAAGAAATAAACCGCGATTATACAATTGGTTTCGTAGGTAATATTCCTATCCGGAATATCATAGTATCGTAGAAAATGTCGATAATTGAGAACCTTCACTGAGAGAAATGGCTTGGTGAATGACACTATACTCGTCTTATGAAAGTAATATGGTGAATTTATATGCGACATCTGGTTCACATATCCAATATTCTGATTACGATACCTCGACGCATCTGGTAGTCCGAGACATTTAGTTGTAGACATCTAAACAGTTTGGTAATTGTCTCTAGACGTGTGATACTATTGACGCGATAGTTAATTGTTACTCGCTGCGACGTTTCCTTTTTCGTCTATACTAATTTGTAAAGACGTCGGTGCTATAAAAGAGTAGACACTGAAACCGTTAGATATTTGGAAGAATGAAATTTCTTAAAATATGTTGACGAATTTAGAAGTAAATATTAGGACCTTAACTTAGTTTCCGCCCGCAAATGTTAGATGGCAATGCAAACAGTTCTAGTAGTCATTACTAACGAAACAGGTAGTTTGTGATTAATTTCGACATTTCTCGATAACATTCAGTCAGCATACACAATTATTTTCCTAAACAACAATTTCTTT